TTTGTCGATAAACTCATGCTTAAAAGAAGAGACATTTGTCGATAAACTCATGCTTAAAAGAAGAGACATTTGTCGATAAACTCATGCTTGTTTGGAGGGATTGGTACAAATTGAATATAAATTAATTTTAGCTTGTTCGACTCACTTAATGTTTGGAAGTAAATGTGAATCTAGAACTTTAAAACACGGACAAAACCTCTTTTCAAAGTATTTAAAAATTCTTATTTTATTTTCCGATCTAATCCATTAAAGAATTTTTATAGTAATTCAGAATTTGAGTGTTAATGATAGTGTTTTCCTGGTAAGGTGTTAATTATTTGGTGTCTTTAGCATTTAAAGAACATTACATGAAATTGAAATTGTGGAAAGACTCTCCATTTTTTTGAAAGAAGTATACGCCTCTAAAGCATCAGTTGGGTTCTCTAATAAGTTACCTTAAAACAATGAATTTGGTCATTTTCATTCTACAAATTAAAACCCATTCTCTTTGTCTTATCTTCCATAACCAGCAAATCATCATCTGTCTACAAATTCCCTCGTAAATCTATATATTTATAGCCATTCTTAACAAATAGTATAGTTTTGCTCAAATAATTAAGACGTTATAATCTCCCTCTAAAGACATAGAGGTTTGCATCTTCACGGCTCTATCTAGTGAATAAAACCCAAATGCTTTAAAATTTTAGTATCAAAATCTAATATCTTAAAAGAAATGTCCTATTTTTGCAACAAAAAAGTTAAATGTTCGAATTTCTACCGTTTAAAATGTTTATTTAGTCGGAATATAGTTTCACATTGAAAAGCTTAACCTAAACATAATTTATGTAATACTCGAGTAAAGGAGAGTTATATGAATGAACCGGGACCATATTCCAAAAAGAGGAATTCTGACGATAGGATTAAGAAAAACTTAAAAGAACTGAAAGTCACAATTATATCAATTAGGTGCATCTTCTTTTCGATAACTTAGTCACACGAACTCTATGATTAAACGTGCTTTACTTTAAACAATTCTATGTTAGGTGACATCGTAGAAATTTTTCTTGAAATGCATGTGAGCGACGAGAAAACATTCTGGAAAAACTTGTGTTGGTGAGTAGAGATAGTCTTCCCTCTTAGAAGCTAGGAGAAAAATTCTGTCACAAAAAAAATAGGAGAAGGTCGGGACAATTGGGTCGTTATAGTTTAACTCATAAAAAGTGTATATGATTTACTTCATTTTTACCCCCAAAATTTACCCATCAATCCATTTTTACCCCCAAACTTAGTAAATTTATTGGTTCCAAAGTTACCGTATAAATTAGAAAATGACACTCTTATCGCCATGTATGGGTAAAAATTTGGATTATTTAGCATGCGGTGGCGCCGCCGGAGTTGGGAAATGAATCGGCCTAATCTCTCTGCTGTCCTCACCGCCTCATCTCCACCGATGACCCCAATATCATATATAAATACAATTCTTTTTTCCCCCTTTTGAACAATCATGCAATGAACTAAGATCATGATTTATCTTTTTCATTTAGATAACTTACCACATCTATATCCTTTTAATCTTTCCGTAGCAGACATGTTTTAAAATAATGAGACTGATGCTGATACGTAATGAATCAAAACAAACAATATCTATTAATGTTAAACTTAGACCGTTACAAATAGTATCAGAAGCCAAACACCAAGCGGTGTACCAACGAGGACATTGACCCTTAAACGAGTGGATTGTGAGATCCCACATTAGTTGGAGTGGGAAACAGAACACTCCTAATAGACGCGTTTTAAAACCGTGAGGCTGATGATGATATGTAACGGACCAAAAAGATGGTTTGCCAACAATATGTGATGATATGTAATAATATCAAAAGCCAAACACTAGACGGGGTGCCAACAAGAACGCTAGCCCCTAAGGGTGTGAATTGTGAGATCTCCCATTGGTTGGAGTGGGAAACGAAACATTCCTTATAAGAGTGTGGAACCTAGTAGAACATTGTAAAACCATGAGACTGATAGCGATATACAACAGGTCAAAGTGAACAATATTACATTCTAAAGGTTTATGTTTAATAGGTTAATGAACTTTAAAAGTATCGGAATGTCCATAAACATATGTATCAGATAGAGTTGAAAGTTGAGAGATCAAAGAGATATAAAACTACACGATCGAGATAGCGTTTGTCTCCCTCCCGTCATTATAAATATAGCATAGGTGTAGTACCATACCCTATAGAGAATCAATGGATCCAATATCCTACAAAAATGTTCAACTTTTGCACCAAATCACTCAAGCTCCTCTTCCTCTTTTCCTCTTCCTCTTCCTCTTCCTCTTCCTACTTTCACTCAAACTCTTCTCCACCAAAAGCACCAAAGCCTTGCCACCATCACCACCACAGCTTCCAATAATTGGCAACCTCCACCAGCTAGGCAGCCTCCCACACCGCTCAGTGGCATCTCTGTCCGACAAATATGGCCCTCTCATGCTCCTCAAGCTCGGCCAAACCCCAACCCTCGTCGTCTCATCCGCCAAGCTAGCTAGAGAAGTCATGAAATCCCATGACACCATCTTCTCAAACAGATACCAAAACAGAGCTGCACAATCCTTAATCTATGGATGCCGTGATGTGGCCTTTGCTTCCTATGGAGAGCAATGGAGACAAGCTAGAAAGCTGTGTGTTTTGGAGCTTTTGAGTGGCAAGAGAGTTGAGTCTTTTCAATATGTGAGAGATGAGGAAGTTGGTGAGCTTGTCAAGAAGATTCGTAAAAGTTGTGGCTTTGGAGATTCAGGGGTGAATCTTAATCAGCTTTTGATGTCAACTTCGAATAATATTGTGTCGAGATGCGTTTTGGGAGAGAAACTTGAGAATGGAAAAGGGATGAGTGGGTTTGGAGATGTGACGAGGAAGGTTATGGTGTTGTTGTCGGCGTTTTGTGTTGGTGATGCGTTGCCTTGGCTTGGATGGGTTGATGCGGTGAGGGGGTTCCATCGGGAACTCAAGAACACTTTTGAAGCGTTGGATGGGCTGTTTGATAGAGTGATTGATGAACATAGAGAGAAGATGAAGAACAGTGATCGATCTGGGGAGATGGATTTTGTTGATATCATTCTGCAATTGCAACAACGGGATACTCTTGATTATCGTTTCTCTATGAACGATTACAAAGCAATTTTACTGGTTTTGTTCCTCTCCTCTCCCTCTCTTACATCTCCTATCCCTCTCCCTCTCTTGCATCGCCATTGTCGTAACAGTTCAAGCTCACGATTAAGGTTTTTTCCTCAAAGTTTTAAAACGTGTCTCCAAAGAAAGGATTCCACATCATTATAAGAATGGTTCGTCCCTCTCTCCCATTAATATGAGATCTCATAATAAGGGATGTGAACGAAACATTTCTTATAAGAGTGTGGAAACTATTCTCTTAAAACATCGAGGGGAGTCAAAAGAGGACAATACTTGTTCCTCTCTCTTTCTCTCTATTACATAGCCACACACTCTTAGCGACACCGAATTCTAGAGGTGTTGAGGTGTTCTGTAATAGCTCAAGCCCACAATTAACTGATATTGTTTTCTTTGGGCTTTTCCTTCTGAGCTTCCCCTCAAAATTTTAAAACGTGTCTGTTAGGAAAGGGTTTCCACACTGTTATAAGAAATGTTTCGTTTCTCTCTCCAACTGACGTGGGATCTCATAGTAGTGAAACGAAACATTTCTTATAAGGATGCGAAATTTTTTCCTTAGTAGACGCGTTTTAAAATCTTAAGGGGAAGTTTGAAAGGGAAAGTTCAAAGAGGACAATATTTGCTAGCGGTGAGTTTGAGGGGTTATTGTTTATGATTTTCGTAATAATTTGTCAAGTGGTGTCAACTTGCAGGATATGTTTGTTGGAGGAACCGACACGACAGCAACAGGTTTGGAATGGGCAATGGCTGAGCTGATGAGAAACCCAACAGCCATGAAAAAGGTTCAAGAAGAGGTCAGGACAGTAACGGGAAAAAAACCAAAGATTGAAGCGGAAGACATTCAAAAGATGAAGTACATGCAGTGTGTTATAAAAGAGTCTCTAAGACTTCACCCACCAGTTCCTCTATTGGTGCCCCGACAGACAATGGGAACTGTGAACCTTGAAGGCTACGAAATTCCACCAAAAACTAGCGTTTGGGTCAATGCTTGGGCAATTCAAAGAGACCCCAAAAGCTGGGAAAACCCAAATGAGTTCATCCCAGAGAGATTCATGGAACCAAACTCTGTTGATTTCAAAGGCCAAGACTTTGAGTTCGTTCCATTTGGGAGTGGAAGAAGGAAGTGCATTGGAATGTCGTTTGGGTTGGCTGCTTTTGAATCTGTATTGGCTAATCTTCTTTATTGGTTTGATTGGAAGCTGCCGGCCGGGAAGCCATTGGATATGACTGAAGAACATGGGCTCTCAGTGTTCATGAAACATCCTCTTAGTCTTGTCCCAATTCCACATTCTGTGTAATGTTTGGTTATTTCCTTAATGGTCATGAGTGAGTGAGTATCATTAGTAATGTGTATATGAAGTTCTGTAAGAACTACCATATGGTTTGCTTATGAAGTTGCGGTGTAAAATATTTTTGGGAAAGGTTGTCTCTTTCATATTTTTACCCAAAACGTATAGGTAAAAAATACCATTTACTTGTTACGTATCGTTGTCAGCCTCATGATTTTAAAACGTATCTACTAGGGAGAAGTTTTCACACCCTTATAAAAAATTCTTCGTTCCCTTTTCTAACCAATGTGAGATCTCACAATCCACCCCCTTAAGGGCCAGCGTCCTTGCTGACACACCGCCCAAGGTTTCCACACCCTAGGAGTGTTTCTTTCCCTTCTCCAATCGATGTGAGACCTCATAATCCACCAAAGCCAGCGTCCTCGCTGGCACACCACCCGGTGTCCGGCTCTGATACCACTTGTAAGAGCCTAAGCCCACTGAGAGTAGATATTGTCCTCTTTGAGGTTTCCATTTTAGACTTCTCAAAGTTTTTATAAATTCTTATAAATAATGCTTTGTTTTCCTCCTCAGTTGAAATGGATCTCGCAAGTATGCACAAAAGTAGAATTATTCATGGAACAACCACATGCATACAAACATTAAAGAACGGTAGTTATCCAACATGAAAGTGCCTTAGCTCAAATGAAGAAGAAACAATATGCTACACTGTTCCAGACCTTATCACACCAGCAATTACTTGAAAATTCCTAGCAAAATACCATAAATTAGCCATATCGAATGTAATTTACGCTTAAAACAAGAAAAATCAGGTAAACTGACCTTAAAAATCAAGCTAGGAGAAAAATCTAGAAGGGACATCAAATGGAAGCACAACCGACAAACTAGAAGGAGACATCAAACTTATCACTGGTCGGCTCTTGATGCTGAAGTCAAGTCGAAGCTGGATTAAAGGATCTTAAACTTAGGATAAACCTTTGTTGCAGGAAGACGAAGCTGGAAGAATACCATAAGAAAGCACAAAAGAATGGATCGAACCTCATATTTTCAACATTGGAAGAGGCAACAATTTCAATATGGAGTAGCCATTCACATCAATCCCATCTCTATTTCTTTTTGCCTTTTCTTCTTCTTCCTCCTCCTTTTGCTTAAGCTGTTCAGAGGGAAAAAACAAAGCATCAATTTCCCTCCTTCACCACCCAAACTGCCAATCATCGGAAACCTTCACCAATTAGGAACCTTGCCGCACCAATCTTTGGCGTCTCTTTCGAAGAAATATGGGCCTCTCATGCTCCTAAAGCTAGGCCAGACCCCAACTCTGGTGGTTTCATCAGCAAAAATGGCTAGAGAAGTAATGAGGACCCATGACCTCAAATTCTCCAACAGACCCAAAACTACAGCCACTAATCTCTTGTTCTACGGATGCCAAGACATGGGTTTTGCCCCATATGGAGCGTACTGGAGACAAGCCAGAAAAATGTGCGTTCTTGAGCTTTTTAGCTTCAAAAGAGTGGAGTCCTTTCAGTATATCAGAGATGAAGAAGTCGGTGTTCTTATCAGTAGGATTCATAAGGCTTGTGCTGGCGGTGAGGTTGTGAATCTTAGCAAGTTATTCCTTCAAATCTCAAACAATATAGTGTCCAGATGCGTTATGGGAAAGAAGTTTGAGGATGAAAATGGGAACAATAGATTTAGAGACGTATCAAGAAGGGTAATCGAGCTACTCTCAGCGTTTTGTGTGGCAGATTTCTTCCCTGCTTTCGGATGGGTTGATGTAGTTAGAGGGTTCATTGGGGAACTGAAAACAATTTCTAGAACAATGGATGAATTCTTGGATATGGTAATTGAAGAGCACAAGACAGAGTTAAGAACTGGTAGACCTGATGATAAAAGGGATTTCTTGGATATTATGCTGCAGCTCAACCAAGATGACATGCTCGGCTATCATTTCACTCGGGACAACCTCAAAGCCATATTACAGGTTTCTCTGTCTCTGTTTCTCTCTTAGTTACTTTTACTCTTTCGACTAGCAATTGAAAATAGGATGAACATACCGAAATTCAATATGGTTGTCGGAATTGTAGGACATGTTCGCCGGTGGGAGTGACACTTCTGCAACAGCATTGGAATGGGCAATGGCAGAGCTGATTAGAAACCCAAACACCTTGAAGAAAGTTCAAGAAGAGATCAGAACAATAGTTGGAAAGAAGCCAAAAATTGAAATGAATGACATTAGCAAAATGGAGTACATGAAATGTGTGATAAAAGAATCTCTAAGACTACACCCACCAATTCCTCTGCTTGTGCCACGAGAAACATCAGACGTCGTCGACATCGAAGGCTACCATGTGGCATCAGGAACCAGTGTCTTCGTGAATGCTTGGGCAATCCAAAGGGACCCCATAATCTGGGAAAGGCCAAATGAGTTCATCCCAGAGAGATTCATGGAGAAGAATTGTGCTGATTTCAAAGGCTTAGATTTTGAGTTCATACCATTTGGAAGTGGAAGAAGGAAGTGCCCTGGATTGTCGTTTGCGCTTGCTTCTTTTGAATGTGTGTTGGCCAACCTTCTCTATTGGTTCGATTGGAAGTTGCCTGAGGACATGGCGGGAGAATTGTTGGACATGAGTGAACTCCATGGAATCACTGTTCGCAAGAAGATTCCTCTCCATCTCACTCCATTACCATTGTAGTCTAATGGAATATCATTTGCAATTGCTTCCTTTCAACAAATCTTCTGGTTCGCTTGGAAGCTTCCTAATAGCTCTGTGTTGGACGTTGAAGAAGAAAATGGACTCCCTGTTTGCAAGAAACCCCCTGCATCTCAAGTTAGTACCATATAACTAGTACAATAAAGTAAATTCTAACGAGGGATTGAAATATATTTTAGATATTGGAAGAATAAATTTAGATATTCTAGAATAGATTCACTACTCTATTTATCTATCCACCCTACTTAAGTTTCATCACAAGAAATACTAATCTTGTGAGTGTTTCTCATAAAAATTTGTGTTCAACAATCTGGTACCAGAGTCAAACATCGAGCGGTGTGTCAGCGAGGATACTGAGCCCCTAAGGGGCCGTGGATTGTGAGATCACACATCGGTTAGAAAGGAGAATGAAACATTTTTTATAAGAGTGCAAAAACCTCTTCCTAACCGACACGTTTTAAAAACCTAAGGCTAACAGCAACACGTAACGAACTAAAATAGACAATATCTACTAGCGGTGGACTTGCTTATATCACACGAATAGATTTTGTTCCCACTGCCTTGCTTAGTTGATATTCTCAATAGATTACACTACAAGGAACAGCTAGCTCTCCGCAAGTCCAAACCGACACTGACTGATTATTTAAATCGAGGGGTGTTACACATTTTGTAATATTTAAATCGTAGAATGAAGATTTAATAAATATAAATGACCCACAACGCAGATTCCAATAATGGATAATTATTTTATTCTTCAGGGTTTGTAGGGTTGAACTTGCTAAATGTTTCTGGAAACATGGGCAGGATAATATATGCTATAAACTAATCCATAAAAGAAGATGGATCTAAGATCACAATTAGAGCAGCAGAGGCAGAGTCAACAACTTAACAATCATATGGATCAGTTCAATCTTTTGAATTGCTCTCTATTTTTCCTACTGTTCTTCATTTTTCTCAAGTTGTTTAGAGCAAAAAAAGTGAACTTACCTCCATCACCACCGAAGCTACCAATACTTGGAAACCTTCATCAGCTGGGCAGGTATCCCCATCGATCGCTGCAAGAACTCTCCAAAAAGTATGGTCCTCTCATGTTTCTGCGACTGGGATTGATTCCAACTCTTGTGGTTTCCTCAGCTGATATTGTCAGAGAGATCTTTAAGAATCATGATATCAGTTTTTCTAACAGGCCCAAATCAACCGCTGCCAATTTGTTCTTCTATGGATACAAAGATGTGGGGTTTTCTCCATATGGGGAATACTGGAGAGGATTAAAAAAGATTTGCACTCTTGAACTTCTAAGTCAGAGAAGAGTGCATGAATTTCAGTATGTGAGGGAAGAAGAAGTTGAAATCCTGGTGAATAAGGTACATAAAGCAAGTTCTTCAGGTTTATCTGTAAATCTTAGTGAGTTGATTACCTCAACCTCAAACAACATAGTTTCAAGATGCATATTTGGAGAGAAATTTGAAGATGAAAATGGAAAGAGCAGATTTGGTGAACTAACAAGAAGGATGGCTAAATTAGTTGTGGCTTTTAGCGTGGGAGATTTTTACCCTGCTTTTGGATGGATTGACAATATCACAGGCTTAATTGGGCAATTGAAAGAAACATCTCGAGCTCTAGATACTTTTCTTGAACAATTGATTGAAGAGCACAAGACAAAGAAGAATGGCGATTTTCAAGGCGACAGAGAAGATTTTGTGGATATTCTTCTTCAAGTTCAGCAGAAGGATGATCTTGGTTTCGAATTCACTCAAGAAAGTTTAAAATCAGTGTTAGAGGTCTTTTTCTTTCCTACACGCATACAAACAATTCACACAGACATTTTATCAAACAGTTAGTGTTCATTCTAGCTCTATTATTGTTTCAGGATATGTTCATAGCTGGAACGGATACGACGGCATCAGTATTGGAATGGGCGATTGCAGAGCTAGCAAGAAATCCAACAATAATGAAGAAAGCACAACAAGAAATCAGAGAAGTGGTGGGCAAAAAATCAAAGATAGATAGCGATGATATCGTTAAAATGGAATACCTTAAAAGTGTTATCAAAGAATCACTTAGGGTTCATCCACCTGCTCCTCTGTTATTACCTCGAGAAACATCTGAAATGGTGAAGCTGGGAGGATACTGTATTCCATCAAAAACCAGAGTGTTCTTCAATGTTTGGGCGATTCAAAGGGACCCAAGAATCTGGAAGAATCCAGAGGATTTCATCCCGGAGCGATTTGTGAACAACCCAGTTGATTTCAAAGGACAAGAGTGCCATTGCCTCCCATTTGGTGGCGGGAGAAGAAGCTGTCCAGGGATGAATTTCGCTTTTGCATCAATCGAATATGTGTTGGCTAACCTTCTACACTCCTTTGATTGGAAGCTGCCTGATGACAGTATGATGGCTAAAGACTTGGACATGAGTGAAGATATGGGGCTCGCTCTCATCAAGAAGCATCCCCTTGTTCTTAAGCCAGTAACATGTTCAACTTAATCTACAATTTGTGTGATGTTGCACGCTAATCACTGTAATCTGGTCTCTGATTGTGTTTTATTTTTATTGTGTTTTATTTTGATTGTGTTTTATTTTGTTAATCCTGTTCCTTTGTAGGCTACCAGCTCAAGATCACCGAACAATCTCCTTTGTCACAAAAATTAATAACAAATCATCATAGTATGATGATACATTTGATTCTCATAGAGCATATGAACTCGTGATCCAAGCAACGAGTTTACCAATTCAATCAAGTTTTTATGATTAAAAAAGATTTTAATTAATTTTTTAGAAAGGACTTTCCTTCCCGAGGCCTACCAGACATGGGAAGGCCACGACAGAATCGTGACAGAAGGCGACGGAAAGCCAGAGGGCGGCTGATGCCAATGGCGGTGGGCCAATGTTCCATTTATGATAGCAATTCGTTTCGCTTTTTTCAGCCATACCTTTCATTCTCCATTTTCATGGCTGCTGTTTCTCTTCTCTATTGAGCCATTTTTCTACATTCCGCCCTCCCCTCAACTTCGCAGCCGTTCCCTGTTAATCCATACACTTTCTCGTTCTCTATATCTCTGTTCATCATTCGCACGATTAGCTTCAAATAACAAGTTCAATTCTGAATATTACAGATTAAATCGGCTTAGAAAACCAGTGGAGCAGCCATTATCATCATCTACGTATCGCGATTTCTACCTTGCATTTAATTGATTGGCTCTGCTCGCTTCGCCTCTCCCTCTCTTTCCTTGTCAGATTTTGCTTGCGCTGCGCTCGAGGATCACGCTTTAATGCCCACTACTAATTGACCGCTTGCCCTTTGTTCCTCTCTCGTTCTACCTTCTTTGCATTTCGCGACCATCTTGTTAGTTTCCTTCTTGCAATGGAGTTCTCTGCGATTATGGCAAGTGGAGCTACCTCTTCTTCTGTTGTCTCTCTTTGCTGGAAACCTAATTCGAAGTGTACCGATTTCAAGTTTCTAGCTCAGAAGGCTCCCATATCGTTATTCGAGACCTTTAAATCTGTTCAATCGCCTCAACTTGACACCAATCCACTGAAATCCAGTACCCGAAGCATCAACTCTGGATTCTCATGCTCTGCTGCGACCCTATCTCCCTCGTCTACCACCGAGCTCGTCCCTTTTAAGCTACAGCGCCTGATTGAGGAATTCGAGTCCATATCCGAGCCGATTGATAGAGTGAAGCGGTTGTTACGGTATGCGACTCTTCTCCCTCCTTTAGATGCCGCAGCGAAACATGACTCGAGTCGGGTCATGGGGTGTACGGCGCAGGTGTGGTTGGAGGTGCGGATTGATCAAGAGGGCAAGATGAGGTTCGCTGCAGATAGTGATTCAGAGATCTCTAAAGGGTTTTGCTCATGTTTAGTTTCGGTGCTTGATGGTGCGATGCCTGAGGATGTTCTGAGATTGAAGACGGACGATTTGGCTGCTCTGAATGTGGGATTGCCGGGTGGAGAGCGTTCGAGAGTAAATACTTGGTACAATGTTTTGATTAGTATGCAAAAGAGGACTAAGGCTTTGCTTGCAGAGCTTGAAGGGAAGTCGCCATTTGAGCCGTTTCCATCTCTGGTTGTGACTGCTGATGGAGTTCATGCAAAAGGAAGCTATGCCGAAGCTCAGGTAACTGATGACACATTTAATATAAATTATGGATTATGTATTAACTATTGAAGATAAACACTGTTCATGTACAAAAGCTTGAAATTGGTTTCTGGTAGCAGTACATTTATTCAGTTCCTTTTACAGGCTAGATATCTGTTCCCAAATGATTCTACAGTGAAAGAACTTGTCAAAGTGCTAAGGGAGAAAAAGATTGGCGTTGTTGCACACTTCTACATGGATCCTGAAGTCCAAGGGGTGTTAACTGCTGCCCAGAAGGAATGGCCTCACATTTATATATCTGATTCATTGGTAATGGCAGATATGGCTGTCAAGATGGCTAAAGATGGATGCCAATTTGTAACAGTACTTGGTGTAGATTTCATGTCGGAAAATGTTCGTGCGATTCTTGATCAAGCTGGCTTTGGAGAGGTGCGTCTTCCTTCTCTCAAATTTCTTATTAACTTTTCATTGTTATCTCTAGATACAAGATGAACTGATAGTGAAAGTAGGTTAGAATGTAACTGTAACAGCTCAAGCGCTTTTCAAAACGCGTATGCTAAGGAGAGTTTAACACTCTTTTAAAGAATGTTTCGTTTTCCTCCCCAATCGAGGTGAAATCTCATAATCCACCCCTCTTCGGGTCTATAACAGCCCAAACCCGCCGCTAGTAGATATTGTCCTCTTTGGGTTTCCCCTCAACGTTTTCAAAACGTGTTTGCTAGAGAGAGGTTTCCATACCCTTATAAAGAATGCTTCGTTCTCCTCCCCAACCGATGTAAGGTCTCACAATCCACCCCCCATAGCCAAAGCCTAACACTAGCAAATATTGCCCTATTTGAACTTTCCCTTTCGGGCTTCCCCTCAAAGTTTGCAAAACGCGTCTGCTAGGGAGAGGTTTCCACACCCTTATAAAGAATGCTTTGTTCTCCTCCCCAATCGATGTAGGACCTCACAATCCACTCCCTTCAAGTCTATAATAGCCCAAGCCCACTGCTAGTAGATATTGTCCTCTTTGGGCTTTTCCTTTCGGGATTCAAGGTTTTTAAAATGCGTCTGTTAGGGAGAAGTTTCCATACCCTTATAAAGAATGCTTTGTTCTCCTCCCCAATTGATTTGGGATCTCACAATCCACCCCTCTTCGGGTCTATAATAGCTTAAGCCCACCGCTAGCAGATATTGTCCTCTTCGGGTTTTCCATCTCGGGCTTCCCCTCAAGGTTTTCAAAACGTGTTTGCTAGAGAGAGGTTTCCACACCCTTATAAAGAATGCTTCGATCTCCTCCCCAACCGATGTAAGGTCTCACAATCCTCCACCTCCCATAGCCAAAGCCTAACACTAGCAAATATTGTCCTATTTGGGCTTTTCCTTTCGGGCTTCCCCTCGAGGTTTTCAAAACGCGTCTGCTTGGGAGAGGTTTTCACACCTTTATAAAGAATGCTTTGTTCTCCTCCCCAACGATGTAGGATCTCACAATCCACTTCCTTCGAGTCTATAACAGCCCAAGCCCACCGCTAGTAAACATTGTCCTCTTTGGGCTTTCCTTTTCGGGATTCCCCTCGAGGTTTTTAAAACGCGTCTGCTAGGGAGAAGTTTCCATACCCTTATAAAGAATGCTTCAACTCTCCTCCCCAACCGACGTGGGATCTCACAGTAACTCTTTCAAAACCCTACTTCCTTCGCATGCTCTATGATTCGTTTTTATGAACTATTAAAGCCTTCGTAATAGTCTAGTGTCATCTCTAATTCAAGAAGTTTCTCTGTAAGAAGTTGGGTTTTAACCTTCCAGCGTATGGATGAAACTTGTTCACTTTACATCGTCTAGTGTCATCTCTAATTCAAGAAGTTTCTCTGTAAGAAGTTGGGTTTTAACCTTCCAGCGTATGGATGAAACTTGTTCACTTTACATCGTCTAGTGTCATCTCTAATTCAAGAAGTTTCTCTGTAAGAAGTTGGGTTTTAACCTTCCAGCGTATGGATGAAACTTGTTCACTTTACATCGTCTAGTGTCATCTCTAATTCAAGAAGTTTCTCTGTAAGAAGTTGGGTTTTAACCTTCCAGCGTATGGATGAAACTTGTTCACTTTACATCGTCTAGTGTCATCTCTAATTCAAGAAGTTTCTCTGTAAGAAGTTGGGTTTTAACCTTCCAGCGTATGGATGAAACTTGTTCACTTTACATCGTCTAGTGTCATCTCTAATTCAAGAAGTTTCTCTGTAAGAAGTTGGGTTTTAACCTTCCAGCGTATGGATGAAACTTGTTCACTTTACATCGTCTAGTGTCATCTCTAATTCAAGAAGTTTCTCTGTAAGAAGTTGGGTTTTAACCTTCCAGCGTATGGATGAAACTTGTTCACTTTACATCGTCTAGTGTCATCTCTAATTCAAGAAGTTTCTCTGTAAGAAGTTGGGTTTTAACCTTCCAGCGTATGGATGAAACTTGTTCACTTTACATCATGATACATTTTTTGGTCTCCTCTAGATTAATTTAGATGTTGCTGCCCAGCATTTAATGGTGGTGGAACAATTGAGGTATCGATAATGGTTCCATATATGCAGGTAGGTGTGTACAGGATGTCTGATGAACGAATCGGTTGTTCTTTGGCCGAAGCTGCAGCTACTCCTTCCTATATGAATTATCTTGAAATGGCTTCAAAGGACTCTCCCTCCCTGCATGTTATCTACATAAATACATCACTAGAAACGAAAGCCTATGCTCATGAGCTTGTGCCAACAATTACCTGTACATCTTCTAATGTCGTGCAAACAATTTTGCAGGTAGAACATATTCTCTCATTTGCATCCGTTCTGATACTTATTAATCTTTAATGTTCATCCTTTCTTTGCTTTGTTCAGGCTTTTGCTCAAGTACCTGAGTTAAATGTTTGGTATGGGCCTGATTCCTACATGGGTGCAAATATTGTGGAACTGTTGCAGCAGATGACCCAGATGACAGATGAAGAAATTGCAATGGTTCATCCAAAACATAATAGGAACTCGATTAGATCATTGCTCCCTCGTCTGCACTATTACCAGGTTTTTTGGAACTCTGTTTTTTTTTCTCTCTCTTTTCGCCCTCTCTTAATTATAGGCTATGGTTGAGCATGTATTGATAAAGCTTGTGCCTCTGAGTGTTATGTTAGTTTTGGCACCTTCTTCTGATTATTTTGATATGCTCAAGTCCACCACTAGCTGATATTGTCTTCTCTGAGCTTTCTCTCAAGGTTTTTAAAATGTGTATGTTAGGGAGAGGTTTCCACACAAGTATAAGGAATAATTTGTTCCCCTCTCCAACTGATGTGGGATCTCACAATTCATCCCCCTTCGAGACCCAACGTCCTTGCTGTCACACCACCCAGTGTCCACCCCCTTCGGGGCTTAGCGTCCTCGCTGGCACACTGCCTGGTGTTTGGCTCTGATACCATTTGTGACAGCCCAAGTCCACCACTAGTATATATCGTCTCTTTGAGCTTTCCCTCTCGAGCTTCTCCTCAAGGTTTTTAGAACGCGTCTGCTAGGGAAAGATCTCCACACCTTTATAAGAAATGTTTCGTTTTCCTCTCCAATCGATGTGAGATTTCACAATCCATCCCCCTTCGGGGCCCAACGTCTTCGTTAGCACAC